ATTTTTAGTAGAGACAGCATTTCACCACGTTGGCCAGACTGGTCTCGAACTCCTGACCTCAGGTGATCCACCCACCTTGGCCTCCCAAAGTGCTGGGATTATAGGCATGAGCCACCGTGCCTGATCTACAGCCCTGTACTTATGACCCCCACCATAACCAGGAACCAGTCAGGAAAGAAACCAGAAGGACAAAATTTGGGTAGTTTCAGGCCTTGTTTATCAAAACTCCGGGATCACTTCTAGCACATATGATGCCTTTGTGGGAATCACAAAAACGCACCCGGTGGGTGCCAGTGAGTTGCCCAAAGCACTCCTCCTACCTTTGTTTGGGTGGTGGAATTACAAAAATGCACCTCTTTCTCCCTCCTGAGGCCATAGGTACCAGGACTCACAGCTTGACTAAGGGGAACACTGGATGATTTTAGTCCCCTCCTCACTCAGGAGCCTTTGTGCAGTGCACTGCCTGCCCATCTGTACATCCCATACTTGAGAACTACATCAATACCCCACTGGTAGCAATCAAGAAAGCAATCAAGCCATGACTTTGAGCAAAAGCCCATACCACACAAACACACTTCATTCTTTTTTTGTTGTTTAAGACAGGGTCTTGCTCTGTCGCACAGGGTGGAGTGCAGTAGTGCCATCATAGGTAACCTCAAGCTCCTGGGATCAAATGATCCTCTCACCTCAGCCTCCTGAGTAGCTGGCACTAACAGGTGCATGCCACTGTGTCCAGCTGATTTTCCGTAGAGGCAGCATCTGGCTATGTTGTCCAGGCTGTTCTCAAACTCCTGGTCTCAAGTGATCCTCCCACCTCAGCCTCCCAAAGTGCTGGGATTACTGGCATGAGCCACCATGCCCAGCCACACTTTACTTTTAAAATTCCATCTTTCTGGAGAACAAAACTTTGATACTAAAGCATAATCCTTTCTAGCTCCCATCCCACTTCTTTTCATGGAAATAGAGGCTGCTGCTGGGTGTGACAGATGACCTACCGGATCAGGAGAACGTAGACTTCGTGCCGCGGCATCTCGTACCTCTCCACGAGCCTGAACATGGAGTAGATACGCGGCACGGCCAGATTAATGCAGGACACAACGAAAGGCAGTAACAGCACCGCCCCAGGGTTCTTGTGTGTCTTCAGGAACTGCAGGGCATGGAGGAGAGAATGGAGAGCTGGCTTCTACACTGTACCCCTTTCTGCCTCACTCAGAAGTCTCCCATGATGGAAAACCCCAGAAGTAGCTCCTCTGGAGTTAACTATTTATTATTTTTAAAAATATTTTTGAGATGGAGTCTCGCTCTGTTGCCCAGGCTGGAGTGCAGTGACATGATCTCAGTTCACTGCAATTCTGCCTCCTGGCTTCAAATGATTCTCCTGCCTCAGCCTCCTGAGTAGCTGAGATTACAGGCCCCCACCACCACACCTGGCTAATTTTTTAATTTTTAGTAGAGACAGTGTTTCCCCATGTTGGCTGACTGGTTTCAAACTCCCGACTTCAGGTGATCCATCCACCTTGGCCTCCCAAGGTGCTGGAATTCCACCGCACCAGGCCAGATTAACTATTTATTAAGCCACCATTAATTTGTGTACCCCGTGCCAAACAAACCAAGGCTCAGGGAGGGGAAGACACCTGCCCGGGGTCACCCAGCAAGGAAGTGGCAGATTGAAGCCTAGGTGCATCTGACTCAGGAGCCTGAGCTCGAATAGTCATTCTGTGGCTTTCCCATTTTTTTTTTTTTTACAAGATGCCGGGGGCAATGAGGACGTTCTCCCTCCTGTTGAGCAAAGCAGAGTCTCCTGAAGCTACAGCCCAAGGGTATCAATCACCATGAAATTTCTCCTTCCCTCTCCAGTGCGGCCTTGTTCACTTTTACCAGGCTTCACCTGTCTCTGAGTTCTGAATTAAGGGGTTGGGGTGCCTCTGCTAGCCTGTGCTGCACTTTTTTTTTTTTGAGCCAGAATCTTGCTCTGTTGCCCAGGCTGGAGTGCAATGGTGCGATCTCTGCTCACTACAACCTCTGCCTCCCAGGTTCGAGTGATTCTCCTGACTCGGCCTCCTGAGTAGCTAGGATTACAGGTGCGCACCACCACAGCCAGCTAATTTTATATTTTTAGTAGAGATGGGATTTCGCCATGTTGGTCAGGCTGGTCTCGAACTCCTGATCTCAAGTGATCTGCCTGCCTCGGTCTCCCAAAGTGCTGGCATTACAGGCATGAGCCACCACACCCTGCCCCATGCTGCACTTTTGTGTGTTGCTGGGAGAGGCACTGGGCCTCCAGGAGGAGGCAGCACTCTGGCATTTCGCTGGGAGTGGAGCCGGGGCTGCACCTCTGCCAGATGTCCCTCCGTGGCTCTTGGAGTCAGGGATTCCAATGGATTTATCTGATGTCTCACCTTCCCACCTCTTCCCTGCATGGACCTCACCCTATTTCCGTCTACCTATGGATGGTTCAAAAGCACCACTTGCATTTTTGGTGGTATCTTTGGAACCAGGGAGCCAGGGCAACCTGGGTTCCAATGTGGCTCCCTCCTCACACATAAGCTGCAAGGTCTGGGGCCAGAGCCTTAGCTTCTCTGAGCCCCTTTTCTCTATCTGTACAATGGAGAGGTGTTCACATAATCCACAGAGATGTTGCAATAATTAACTGAGATCAAACAAGGCAAGGTCTGGCCCCAGGGCTATGAAACGACGCAGTTGAGCTGAGCTACCATTCACATGAAACTGTAGTCACCAATGAATGACTACCACTGTAGCCAGGACTACAGGTGCACACCACCATGCCAGGCTAAGTTTTAAAATTTTTGTAGAGATGGAGTCTCCATGTTTCCCAGGCTGGTCTCGAACTCCTGGGTTCAGGTGATCCTCCCGCCTCAGCCTCCCAGAGTGTTGGGATTACAGATGTGAGCCACCGTGCCTCACCCCTGTATTTCTGACAAGTTTCCTGCTGGTGCTGATGCTGCTGGCCATAGATCCTAGGTTGAACCGTGGGCTGCACGCCACCCTTCCCTTCCAGCATTTCATCCCTTCACCTGGTTCTCTCTGCCCTGAGCCCTGGTGTTGGTTACCTCTAAGTTGTACTCAGCCAGGTAATAAACGGCTACACAGCAGGTGATGGCCACTCCTGTAGAGACAACCCAGGCCACCACGTAGGCAGAGAAGCGGGTCAGCTGCTGATTGAATGTCAACTTGACCTTCTCCTGAAGGAGCTCTGACAGGTTCTCCTAGAAACATAACAAATCAAGTTTACGCCTGGACATGGTGGCTCACACCTATAATCCCAGCACTTTGGGAGGCTAAAGCGAGTGGATCGCTTGAGGTCAGGAGTTTGAGACCAGCCTGGCCAACATGGTGAAACACCATCTCTACTAAAAATACAAAAATTAGCCGGGTGTGGTGGTGCATGCCTGCCAACCCAGCTACTCAGCCGGCTGAGGCAGGAGAATTGCTTGAACCTGGGAGGTGGAGGTTGCAATGAGCAGAAATCGCATGACTACATGCCAGCCTGGGCAACAGTGAGACTCTGTCTCAAACATAAACAAACAAATAAATAAAAGTCAAGTTTATTCAGAGATCCCTCTCCACTGCTAGCAAAGATCCCCAGTGAACTCTTGTCATACCCAGAGACATAAATCAAGCCCAAATCCACAGGTGAGAGAGAGGGGGAACATTCATAATGAACATGGATTATGGGAGACCCAGGGCGGACTCTGAAATGGGCCAAGAATCCCCAAACACTGCTTCCTTCTTAGAGAAACAGATGGAGTTGATAGATTGGGACCATGTTCTTAAGAAAAGTACACTGAGGTCATGAAACTCTTTCTTGAAGCATAAGGTTGGGTATCCACACTGAGGGAGACACTCACATCTGCAGCCCCTCTTGTCAAGGCCCCTTTATTTGGCTGGGTTTGGTGGCTCGCACCTGAAATCCCAGCACAACAGGGAGGCCGAGGTGAGAGGATCACTTGAGCCCAGGGATTCAAGACCAGCCTGGGCAACACAGTGACTCTGTCTACAAAAGATGTAAAAATTAGTCGGGCACGGTTGTGTGTACCCATGGTCCCAGCTACTCAGGAGGCTAAGGTGGGAGGATAAGTTGAGCCCAGGAGGTCAAGGGTGCAGTGAGTTATGACCGCACCACTGCACTCCAGCCTGGGTGACAAAGCAAGACCTTGTCTCAAAAATAATTAAAAAAAAATTTTAAGCCCCTTTATTTATAAAATCACTTGCTCTTTCTTCCTAATAAGTTGGTGTCTATAGATCATGGTTTCCCAACCTCTGCACTACTGACACTGTGGGCTGCAGAAGTTTCTGTTGAGGGGCTGTTCTATGCATTGTTTAGCAGCATCACTGGCCTCTACCCACTAGATACCAAGAGCACCCTTTTCCCAAGCCAAAAAAGTCTCCAGAAGTTGTCAAATATACCCCAGAGTGGCAAGATTTCTATGGGTAGAAAATCATTGCCCTGGCTGGTTCACAATTGTAATCCCAGTACTTGGGAGGCCGAGGTGGGAAGATCACTTTAAGTTAGGAGTTCGAGACCAGCCTGGCCAACATAGTGAAACATCATCTCTACTTTTAAAAAATCCAAAAATTAGCCAGGTGTGGTGGCAGATGCCTGTAACCTCAGCTACTTGGGAGGCTGAGGCAGAAGAATCACCTGAACCCGGGAGGCGGAGGTTGCAGTGAGCCGAGATCATGCCACTGCACTCCAGCCTGGGTGACAGAGTGAGATTCCATTAAAAAAAAAAAAAATACCATTGCCCGAGAGCAAATTTCTCCCCTCCCCCCCCCTCCCCTCCCCTCCCTCCTCCTCTCCCTCCTCCCCTCCCTCCTCCTCTCCCTCCTCCTCTCCCTTCCTCCCCTCCCTTCCTCCTCTCCCTTCCTTCCTTCCTTTTTTCCTTTTCCTTCCTTCCTTCCTTCTTTCTGTCCTTTCTTTCTGTTCTTTCTTTCTTTTTTCTTTCTTTCTTTCTTTTTCTTTCTTTCTTTCAAGTTCTCACTGTGTTTTCCAAGTTAGTCTTGAACTTCTGAGCTGAAGCGATCCACTTGCTTTGGCCTCTCAAAGTCCTGGCATTACACAGGCATGAGCCACCCAGAGAAAAGTGCCTGGCCTAGAGACAAATTTAAACCTGGAACTGTGAGGTCAAGAAACAGGTACATTGGCCAGGTGCAGTGGCTCACACCTGTAATCCCAGCACTTTGGGAAGCCAGGCTAGGAGGATCACTTGAGCCCAGGAGTTCGGGACCAGTCTGGGCAACATAAGGAGACCTTGTCTTCACAAAAAATAAAAATTAAAAAATTAGCCAGGTGTGATGGCTCATGCCTGTAATCACAGCTACTTGAGCGGCTGAGAAAGGAGGATCACTTGAACACAGGAGCTCGAGGCTTACAGTGAACTATAATTGAGCCATTGCACTCTAGTCTGGGCAAAGTACGTTTAACAGTGATATAAACTGCTAAACTGACTTCCAATAAGATTATACTGGAGTGCAGTGGTGTGATCTCGGCTCACCGTAACCTCTACCTCCCGGGTTCAAGTAATTCTCCTGTTTCTGTCTCCTAAGTAACTGGGATTACAGGCACCCATTGCAACGCCCAGCTAATTTTTGTATTTGTTCTCTTACTCTTCTAGAGATCAAAAATCAGAAAATGTTTTTTGTGTTTGTTTTTTTTTTTTGTCATGGGAAAATGCTCATTTCTCTACACTATACCCAGCTCTTGGCATTATGAATATTTTAATTTTTTTTTTTTTTTTTTTGCCAGTCTCTTGGGCAATAAAACAGTAGCTCATTATTACTTTAAGAAAAGTTACCGGCATACGGGAGAAGGGGAGACCTGACGACAGCAAATGAGTAAAGTGAGCTCGCCTTACCCTTATCTCAGTGCTAAGGTTCTTCTGTTTTAGCTTCACAGCTTTTTCATGAGTGACGGTGAAGTCCCAGCAAAAGATCAGCTTAGTGATCCCTCCGGAGTGAATGTGGGGGTTAATGAAGTTGTTCCGGAAATACCTGGCCATGCTAGAGAAGGCAGAAACCAAAATATCCCAAGGTTATTACAGCAGGCAGTGGGAATGCAGGGCTTCAACAGACAGCCCTATTACTCATGGGGAAAGGCAGCCTGAAGACTTAGCCCCAGGCTGTTGGCCTGGAGCAGTGTGGTCACAGCACAGCGGTGAAATGAGCACTGGCTTTGGGACCGCATAGGCCTGGCGTGCAGCTCTGGATGTGCCCACTGAGCGATCTTTGTCCTGTGAAGTGTTCTGATTCTGGGCTTCAGTTTCCACATTTGTAGAGAAGGAATAACAATAGTACCCACCTCACAGAGTTGTGCTTTTTTTTGTTTGTTTGTTTTTGAGACAGAGTTTTGCTTTTATCTCCCAGGCTGGAGTGCTGTGGCATGATCTTGGTTGCTGCAACCTCCACCTCCCAGGTTCAAGCGATTCTCCTGCCTCAGTCTCCCAGTAACTGGGATTATAGGTGCCCATTTTCACACCCAGCTAATTTTTATATTTTTAATACAGGCAGGGTTTCACCGTGTTGGCCAGGTTAGTCTCAAACTCCTGACCTCAGGTGATCCACCCAGTTCCCTGTTGCTGCTGTAACAATTGGCAACCAACTTAGCGGCTGAAAACAACACAAATTTATTCTCTTACCCTTTTAGAGATCAGAAGTCAGAAAATGTTTTTCCTTGTTGTTTGTTTAGAGATGAGGTCTTACTGGCTGTATGGCCCCGGCTGGAGTGCAGTGGTGCAGTCACAGCTCACTGCAGCCTTGACCTCCTGGGCTCAAGCGATCCTCCCGCCACAGCCTCCAAAGTAGCTGGAACTATAGGCACGTGCCACCACGCCCAGCTAATCAGAAAATGAGTCTCACAGAGGTAAAATGAAGGTGTTGGCAGCCTGTGTTCCTTCTGGAGGCTCTAGGGGAGAATCCGTTTCCTTGTCTTTTCCAGCTTCTAGATGCTGTCCTCTTTCCTTGGCTTGTGGTCACCTCCATCTTCAAAGCCATCAGGGTAGCGTCTTCCCATCCCCCCGCTTCTCTCTGACCTCCTGCTTCCCTCTTATAAAGACCCTTGTGATCCATTGGGTCCACCCAGATAATCCAGGATAATCTCCCCGCTTAAAAATCCTCAATCACATCTTCAAAGTCCCTTTGGTTACGTGAAGTTACATATCCACCAGTTTGTGCGATTAGGATGTAGACATCTCTGGAGGTGGGGGCAGATGATTCAGCTTTCCAAAGAGTCCATGTAGTGCTCAGAGCATCAAGCACTTGATGAAGGCACTGTTATTGTCATGGATATCTCAGGCCCAGGAAGCCCTCAGCACACACACAAAAATGCTGCGTAAAACAGACACTGCTGTTCTGAAATTTGCCACTACTCAGTAACAGCAACTTAAGAATCTCAGCTCACTGCAGCCTTGACCTAATGGGCTCAGGTGATTCTCCCACCTCAGCCTTCCAAGTAGCTGTGACTACAGGCGTGTGCCACCAAGCCAGGCTAATTTTTTGTATATTTAGTACAGATGGGATTTTGCCATGTTGCCCAGGCCAGTCTTGAACTCCTAGACTCAAGTGATATGCCCACCCCGGCCTCCCAGAATGCTAAGATTACAGGCATGAGCCACCGTGGCCAGCCTACACATTTTTTCATATGTGTATTTTCCATCCGTACCTCGTCTCTGATAGTTATCTATTATGTTCTTCTGTCCATATCATTGCTAGGGTAATTGCATCCTTATTATCAGGCTGACCAATTTCTTAAAAAGCACAGAAACTCCTCTCTTCTTCTGTCCAAGCTCTTATTTAATAGTGCAGGACAAGGAATGATAGGACAGCAATACAAAGTCAAAACTGCAGTCCAGGCCGGGCGCAGTGGCTCAAGCCTGTAATCCCAGCACTTTGGGAGGCTGAGGCGGGTGGATCACGAGGTCAAGAGATCGAGACCATCCTGGTCAACATGATGAAACCCCGTCTCTACTAAAAATACAAAAAATTAGCTGGGCATGGTGGCGCGTGCCTGTAATCCCAGCGACTCAGGAGGCTGAGGCAGGAGAATTGCCTGAACTCAGGAGGCGGAGGTTGCGGTGAGCCGAGATCGCGCCATTGCACTCCAGCCTGGGTAACAAGAGTGAAACTCCGTCTCAAAAAAAAAAAAAAAAAAAAAACTGCAGTCCAGGTGCAGCGGCTCACGCCTGTAATCCCATCACTTTGGGAGGCTGAGGTGGGTGGATCACCTGAGGTCAGGAGTTTGAGACCAGCCTGGCCAACATGGTGAAACCCCATCTCTACCAAAAATTACAAAAATTAGCTGGGCATGGTAGCGCACACCTGTAATCCCAACTACTTGGGAGGCTGAGGAGGGAGAATCGCTTGAACCCAGGAGGCAGAGGTTGCAGTGAGCCAAGACTGTGCCATGGTACTCCAGCCTGGGCGACAGAGCGAGACTCTGTCTCAAAAAAAACAAAAAAAGAAAAAAAAGTCAAAACTGCAGAGAAACTGTTACCTGGGTAATTTTTGAATTTCTTGCATTTTTGCCTAAGTCTAACATGACCCTCAGAATCAGGAAATGCAGAGGCTTCCATACCTGAACAGCAAACTGAAGAAGCAGGTGGTCAAGCATGCTCCGATCGTGAAGATGTAGGCCAACTGCATGTTGTAGGATGCCCCGCTGTTCCCGTGCTGGATGGTGGAATTGGTGTAAAAGCCATAGTACATGACCGTGTCCCTAAAATAACCCTGAAAGGGACAATAAACCCTAGGTCAGGTGGATCTCCTTAAAAAAACGGTAAATGACTATGGTCATCAGAGTTGACCTCTTCTGAATACAAGAAGCTTGGGCCAGTCGGTTTAGACATTTTGTTTTCCAGGAAAGGGCCACCGAAAATTTGGACATTGTGTCACTGGGCTCTCAGACTTGAAAAGAAATCCAGCATAAATTTATAATGGAAACATTGAGCTGTTACCACCTGGACTCAGTGACCAAGTGAAACATCAGCAAGAACAAGACGCCTAGGCCTGTCGTGTCACCAGTATTATGTGCCTCTGTCACCAGTATTATGGATAAACATGTTTGGCCGGGTGTGGTGGCTCATGCCCGTAATCTCAGCACTTTGGGAGGCTGAGGCAGGCAGATCATGAGGTTAGGAAATCGAGACATCCTGGCCGACATGGTGAAACCCTGTCTCTACTAAAATACAAAAAACTAGCCAGGCATGGTGGTGCGTGCCTGTAGCTACTTGGGAGGCTTAGGCAGGGAAATTACTTGAACCTGGGAGGCGGCGATTGCAGTTAGCCGAGATCGTGCCACTGCACTCCAGCCTGGGCAACAGAGCAAGACTCCATCCCAAAACAAACAAACAAATGCTTAATGGGAAACAAATCAAGCCTTTAGACCTACATTTCAGTGCACAGGAAATAAGAAGCCAGAGAAACACATTCTAGAGATCACTAGAAAATAACCAGACAATTCCAGAAGGTAGGATGTTGGAATCTACACAACAATTGGCTTAATTTCTGCAATAAGCCAATGTCAAGAAAAAAGGGGCTGGGCTGCGGAGATTATTTTAGATTAATAGAGATTTAAGGGGGAAAAATCCATAGAATGTGAAATCTGGTTGTTGACTGAATCCTGGTCTGAATAAGCAAGTTATGAAAGACATTTTGGGGTCTATGCATGGTGGCTCACACCTGTAATCCCAACACTTTGGAGGTCAAGGTGGATGGATCACTTGAGGTCAGGAGTTCAAAACCAGCCTTGCCAATATAGTGAAACCCTGCTTCTCCTAAAAATACAAAAAAGTTAGCCAGATGTGGTGGCACCTGCCTGTAATCCCAGCTACTCTGAAGGCTGAGGCATGAGAATTGCTTTAACCTCGGAAGCGGAGGTTGCAGTGAGCCAAGATAGCACCACTGCACTGTAGCTTGAGTGACAGAGAAAAATTCTGTCTCAAATAAATGAATACATACATACATACATAACATTGCGGGTTGGGAGCAGTGGCTCACACCTGTAATCCCAGCAAATCCAAGCACTTTGGGAGGCCAAGGCAGGCAGATCTCTTTTTTTTTTTTTGAGACAGAGTTTCACTCTTGTTACCCAGGCTGGAGTGCAATGGCGCGATCTCGGCTCACCGCAACCTCCGCCTCCTAGGTTCAGGCAATTCTCCTGCCTCAGCCTCCTGAGTAGCTGGGATTACAGGCATGCGCCACCATGCCCAGCTAATTTTTTGTAGTTTTAGTAGAGACATTGTTTCACCATGTTTACC